ATATAATACATAAAGAAGAAATATTATTTGAAAAATGTTAGGTTATTGGTTGTAGCTTTTTTTCTTTTATAGTGTAGATTAGGATAATTGTTCTTCTGCATAGGCTCTTCCTATCGAGAGGTGTCCCCAGTTTAGAGATCAACCACCAGGTTCAACCGCAACTTACAATGGAAAGTGTTACATATTCTACAACCGACAACCGATGATATTCAGGGAGGCGTTGGCATTCTGTCGTACACGTGGTGGAACTTTAGTAGACGAAAGCAATCCTGCATTGCAGGGATTTATCTCGTGGGAATTGTGGAGGAGGCACAGGTATTCAATTTAAGTTAATATCATTTGTTTCTTTTCAAAAGTTCTTCCTCTCTGTAAGATATGTTATCATTCAATTGTACGACTTTATTTAAGATAATAAGATTAAAATAGCAATAATTAAAGTATTTATTTATGTAAATGTATAATTGCAAAAGTACTCACGATTATGAAATACTAATATTTAATTTAACATATTTTAAAGTAGTTTAACAATTTTTGAATAAACCGTAATTAGTGAAATATTCAGTTTTATTCACGTTTCAGTCAGATTAGGTTTCTTTTGTGTTAATCAATATTTTTCGGTTCGTTCCATATTTAACGATCAAAATCTTCAACTCTAAATTATCAAAAATTCGAATTTAATTGTGGTCTACATATATTAACTCTCTTCCTAATTTGATTCTTTATACTAATCTTCACTTTGCCACAGAATTTTTTTTCCGAGCAAAATGAAATGAAATTCACTCAGTTCGATACAATTCAACATTTATTTATTTATTTTGAAACTTATTCAACGAAATTTGTAAAAATACGTGTTCATCTTTCGTTCGTTTAAATATAATAATATGCATTTGCATTTCCTACAATTTACTATTGTCATATCATTTCACATTTCAAATTATTTTTTACTGCCCTGAAATAAAGCATTGCTTTTCTTACGTGACACAATCACATAACAGAAGCTTAACATTTTTCATTGAAGAAACTCCACAAATGAAAATGAAAGATTAGATTTGAAAAAATGAAAAAATCCACAATAATTCTTTCAATAAAGTCAGCTGAAAAAATGTATTCTATCACTTTCTATAGGAGTGATACTTCGAGTCAATACTGGATGGGAGCAGTGAGGGATCAAAAGGATCGTACGGTTTGGAGGTGGACAGGAAGTGGCGAAGAGGTTTCCGTTTCTTTCTGGAGCCTGCCTCAAGGCACCGAAGAGGACTGCGCTCGGTACGATGGTAGCAGAGGCTGGCTCTGGTCCGATACCCCTTGTACAGCTCGATTAAATTTCATCTGTCAGCACCGTGAGTATCCAGTATGAATTTCAAACGTTGCTTCCGTATTCCTTTCTCCCATTACTATCGAATTGTACAGTAATGATACTGGTGTCTTCTTCGAGACAAAAAGTGTACTTTTTACAGAGAGAATATTCTTTCTCGTTAGATGCACGAGCTACTATAAACAAATTAGTTTAAATAAGAAGACTGAGAACCAAAAAATTAACGTTTTAAAATATTTTTCGAATTTATATTTGTTCCTTCATTAAACTAGAATTTCCTGGACATTCCAGTTTTACTGTTTTATAATGAAGTATCTGTAGCAGTTATTTTTTCGGTAATTCTTATGCATTCTATAATTGTTTGTAATTAAATTTGATGAATTACTAAAGATAGTAAATGGAACTTGCTAATTGTTTGACATCCTGACATTAACGTTTACGGTTTATTATACAGAGTGATTCTGGAAACACTAACTAACGAGTGATTGTAAGAGTGATTCCTTCCCTTTTTTCAAAATATTTGCCTTCAAATAATTTACTTTTATTCAAAATCTTCAAAATATTATTAACATCTCTTCGAGCATCATTGAAATTGTTATTAAATCTAAAACTAGCCATTAAATCATTTTTGAATTCCAATCATCCATACGAACTATCTTTCCTCTCTATTTTTCAAAATACGTGTTTTTAACCTTTTCGTGACTGAATTATTTTTTTCAAGAATTTCTTATTTATCTATCGATCATCACGTCTGTAATATGGAACATATATGTCCCACTGGTCACGAAAGGGTTGAATAATTTTCTTCTACTCAAAATCTGCAAAATATTATCAACGTCTCTTCACACAGTCCCCACGACTCACGCTATTTACAGCTTCCCGCATCATTGAACGCGTCCACAAAAAGATCACTAACAAACAATCCCAGACGACTGGTAAAAACAATGAATCCTTTGTTTGCACTTAGAACCACGTGCGTGTGGTCGACCAGAACAGCCGCCGAATTCCACGATGACGGTGACCACAACGACGGATCGGAATTCCGGAAGCTTGTACGAAGTTGGAGCAGCAGTGGAGTATACCTGTGACGCTGGCAGCCTTCTTATAGGACCGTCTACTCGTACCTGTCTCGACACCGGCTTCTACAACGAGTTTCCACCGGTGTGCAAAAGTAAGAAGCAACGATCAGCAACAAAGACCACTTGGTGAACCATATATGCCTGGTGTTCGATGTTAAATTCAACATTCTGCTGGTTTCCAGGCATCGAGTGCGGTTATCCAGCGAACATAAAACACGGAGGCTACACACTTATCAACAATACCGTTAGTTATCTGAGTCAGGTGCTTTACTCCTGCGATGAAGGATACGAGATGACTGGTAAGAATTTATCGTGGCGTTAGGCATTAGTTCTTGGCTCTATGATAAATGTGTGTCGGTTTTGTAAGTAATACCCTGATACGTATGTTGAAACGCTTCGCAAAGGAGTACTTTGAGGAAATTGGTAAGAACGTGTTACTGATAGTTCCTGATGATAGCTTTCGATAATTTCTCGACTTTCGTTTAAGTTATCTCGGTTTGCTGTTGATTGTAAGATCGTGTGAATTTCTTGATTCCAAGATGCCATGTGTTGAATTTATGGAGATTAGCGTTAGAGTTTAGAACAGTTAGGAATACATTTTTAAAGGATTTACTACGCTTTTATAATTGCACGTAACATAAATTTATGTGTTAATTGTATTCGGTAATGTTAAATCAAAAATTCATAAATTAACATGATATACAGGTACAACAAGTGTCTGATTCAATTAATCATTTGTTCAATTGTTGAACATGCAGAATAACTTTCTTATGCGCATACTTGAATCAAAAACGCTATGCACATGTACATAAATAGATGCAGCTGGATTCTGATCTTAATTGGAGTGAATATACATAAACATAGTACTAACTGTACTTTGAATATTAAGATTTTTTATTTTTAATTATTGCAATTGTTAAATTTTATTAATAAGAATTGAATAGTTCAATTTTTTTTAAATTAATCTTCGTATTTTTGAATTAACATCGTACAATACCAATTAAGATAAGTGTTAAATACTTGATGAGAAAGTTTATAAAAAATTCGATAATTTAAAGCTCGTGTTATTAAAAATTTCACACAGGAAATAATTTTCTTTGGTCAAAGGTCGCGCGAGGTTGACTTGTGACATCGATGAACGCTGGAATGGACCACCACCACGTTGTGAACCAATTCTCTGCGATCCTCCAACTCCTGTTTTACACAGTTACATTCAAATCGATGAAATTGACGAATCTGAGACGCTACCAGCAAAGACGAGCTTGAATCGAAGTCTTCTCGTAGGCAGTATTGTTACATACACTTGCGAGAAGGGTTACAAACTTACCGGGTTCCGACAGATACTATGTTTGCCCACTGGATTATACGATCATGTCGCACCCACTTGCACAGGTATGTAATTTAATTAATTTTATAGTAAAACTATAATCACAGCCTGTCTATAAAAGATTGTATCCTTTTCAAAAATTTATTCTCGACCCCTTGATGTGATACGAGGATAATATCATTCAAGCTTTATTCATACAAACGACGAAAGTACGAAAATGTTTAAAATTTATTTTGTAATATATTTATAATAACTATTTGAATATATATAAGTACAGAACGTAATTAACATCTTTTCTGTTATTTAATAAAACATTAAGTATGTAATCTGAAAGCTCCTCAGCAAATATCAAATTTTACTAAAAGTCGAAACGTTGAAATTCTTTTATTACAGAGGAACCACGCACCACAATTACCGTTCCTCCCAGAATCACCGTGCGACCAACGACCGCCAGAACACGGCAACCATTCTTACCACCCCGTGTCCGAACCACAACTATCTCCACCACGACCACAACCACAACTACCGCTGTGCCATCACGAAAAGTGCCCAGTACTGTCGAATTGCCTGCGACAGTGAGAGAAACCATCGCGAGGAAGCCAAATATTGGTCTTCAGAGGCCAGCTCCATCCTCATCGCCGTCTCTAAACGACGGCAGCAGCGATCATCCTCAGGACAACGAGATCTCTGGCAGCGGTGTAGACAACGCACAGGCTGGCATTGGAACCGGTGTCCCAGAACCATCGGGACCATACAGAGTGGATAGTGCCGATCAGCCGAGTAACACTCATCAAGCGAAATTAAATCTAGGCGCGGTGATCGCCTTGGGCGTCTTCGGCGGTTTTGTATTCCTAGCCGCTGTAATCACCACGGTCGTAATACTCATACGCAGGTAAAAGCAAATCATTAAAATAAATTGGAATCGCGAGTAGAGCGACGGTGACTATACCGCTGGGTACTCTTTTAGTTTCTGTGATCACGATGGTTGCTTCAAAAGTAACGCCTGTTGTAGTATAAGACTGAATTATACTCAACGGTGGTAGTTCGATACGTTTGTTATGTTTTGTTTTTGCTTTATGATTTGTTGGTATGGTTGTCTGTTTATCCACTGCTGAGAGCGATTAAAGCATTAGTTTAAGGAGGTTCCATTATTCCCAGTTCGATTTTAATATTCTCGTTGTGAAACGTGTTGTTTGCGATCAATTAGTACTCGTACCTTCTACTTCTCTAACAGGCATTATTTCTTGGGCAGAGTATACATAACTATTTATAGCTTTTATATGCATACAATACATTCGCTCTTTGACCCTACGTGTGTATACTGTATCGCTTACTCTACATTTGTTGAAACTGTTTCTCTATCCTTTCATCTATCTTCTTGTCTTTTTCTCTTACTAATAGCGCGTTTCGCCCTCCCCCCTCCTCCCCCCATTAAGATATTGTATTATAATTTGCATTTATTTCGAGCGTTGTAGGTAGTGCAACAAAAAGTTATTACGTGAACAGATTTTGCAGTAAAGGATATGAAAAAAAAATCAACAACCTCCAAGCCCTCTTTATTTTAATTGTATTCTTTCCACTACCATCGGCTGGTAGAGAGTATTACAAATGTAGTTTCGCTTTGTAGTTACTTTGAGTGAAGAAATACAAAATTACCAGACCAGTTACGAACTTTTCATAGAATTTCCATCCATAATCTTGAATACATTTTTCGTGAAGTGCTTCGTGAATTAATTAGGAAGAAGTTTGAAAGTTTATGATGAAGTTTTTCAGCTTTATTTCAAAAAGAAAATATCGTAGAACCTCTCTTATTTGAAATAATTGAAATAGTAGAATTTCTGGATAATGGAATATTCTTCTTCTTCTATGACACATAACTTACAGATTTAAGTCACGATTTTTTTAAATATTAGAATACTGTTCTCTTCAGATTGTACAGATTTTTATAGTAACATAGTAAACGAAGTTTTGGTTCGCATGTTAACTTTTAGAGAGATTTGAATGTATTGCAATTTATTCTAATAGTAGAGATTCTGCTGTACTTTTCTGGTCCAGATTAAGTAAAAAGCCAATACAAAGCAGATTTACGCCAGAGGATGTAGAACAGGGTTTTTTAACTTTCATCATAATTGAATTAAATTACAAGTAATAATTAACCCTTTTGCAGTGAAAACTTCGATATTAGAAATTTATGGTTGCTTTCAAATTAAACCACGTGTGTTTGTAATTTCTTTTCGAATTTCTTCATTGACGCAATCATTGTAATTTATTATATTTGAAAATTTATTCATGTTCATTCTTCAACATTCTCAATACCTTTAATGCTTTCCCACATAAAAGATGATTAATACGGAGCAAATGATATCTTATTTTTAGAAAATAAGAAAATAACAAAACTAAGTATGATTGTTTTTGTACACTTTCTCCTATCGTTTTTTTACTCTTCGCAGCGAAAGGGTTAAAAGTGATATTAAACCTGCTTTACGCGGAAAACCTCAACTAACCCTTTCATTGTTGACGACTATTATTTTGACAGCAATACATGAAAAACTCATACACAAAATTATTATTCGTATCATCTACGTCTAAATTACAAACTCGAATGCATAAAACGTCTAATTCAATAACCATACCCGATAATTCAGAAATAAAACAAAACTACTTAACACATTACCAACCGAAGGAATTGCATTCGAATAGATATCGAAGATTGCTGAAAAGATTTTTAAGAAAATTAAGCAAAGAACCCAGTGTTAGCAAAAATTTCGTAGAATATTGCACGAAACTAAATTATCATTCATTGCGAATTGCAAAATAGACAATAGTAGATCTACCCAATCAGTTGTCAATATGCTAACTGTACAATTTCTCGTAAGATTAAAATTTGACCACATAAATTTACAATCAATCTCAGCAACGAAGGTGATTCTAACCTAAAAAGTAAATCTCATACCAACGAAACAATGATAAAGAATAATCAATACAAAAAGAATACGCACACACACACAGATACAAAATACACCGAAAAGAAAAAGTACTTATAGAACAACGAGAGAGAGAAAAAAAAAAGAAGGTTGATCGAAGGAAACTAGGTAACGATCAAGAAATAACAATTAACACTGAGCCCGTTTGCGTTGCGGTGGCTAGCGGCAGTGGCAGCGTCAGAGGAAGGCGCCGCAGGGGGCTTGGTGGGGTTGGTGCGTTGAGGGGTGGGGGTAGTGGTGGCCTTGGAAGGGGTGATGCAGGGATGCCCTCGCGTTGGTATACGCTACTGGCGCTGCCCTTCCCCGACCAGCACCTGGGGCGCCGCGATTTGACGGCTCGCCGCGGCACTGATCATCCTTACTCCTTTGGCCTTTCGGCGGCCCATCGCGCTGGATATTTCTCCAATCCTTCCCTCTAAACTACCAAAAAATATTTCCTATGTATACATATATATATATATAGCCCACCATTATCGCCCTCACCCTCCACGCAACCACGGCCCACCACTACATCAACCATCACCACGAAACCACTACAACCGCCATGCGCCACCCTCGCGAGTGATTACTAGTCAAGGTAAACGAGCAACGTTTATAATGAGCACCCAATATATAGCGATAGCTCGTTCACCAACTCACAAGAGTGTTTTCAAGGCTTCTTCTAGACGCACACGTTGATGCAGCGTACATTATATGCACTTTCTCCCCGATTATCCTTGTAGCTTCTTTGTTTATACTGTTTCTTCGCATACCCGTTCTCGTAGGATAGAGTATATACCATATTGCTAACGGAAGCGATTATCTAATTTATAGGGAGAGTGGAAATACTCAGGGTTCAGATGTTCGAGTTTTAAGGTCGTTTCTTGGAAAATGTTCTTTGGTACCTTTAAGTGCTAATCAGTGGAAGAAATATATATATATAGGGAGGTACTTGGAAAATATCGTTAAATGTTATTCATCAAAGTAGAAACTACTTTACGAGACCATTAATATAGTCTTTTCCTTATTACAGAGGCACAATTATAAGAGATGTTATTAGAAGTAAATTTTTGGATTTTTAAAATATACCATTAGCAAATCTAAGTAGAATTAAACAAAGAAATACATATTATTTACTTTTAATTTCAAATTTAATTTTAGATTTCTTCCTTAAATATGAAAAAGAGTTACGTTGCTCTTTATTACACACTTGAAAGTATTATCCTTTGCATTTTGCATTACTTGCGACGGTACTATAATTTCTTCCACTGAATATGCGTAAATATTCTAATGACTTAATATTAATATACTCGTATTATAATTATTTAAATCTGATAACACTTTTATTTAATTATCCTTGAGTATTTCGTTTATTTTTACTGCTCCTCAAAGTACTCTTTCAAAAAGGCTTAAAAAGGAATTAGTTAGTTGGCTTCAACTAATTAAAATTATCATATCTGAATTATTAGGAATAGTATTACAGTATAATTATAATAAAATAGAGTAAAATGGAATATACCAGATTGAAACTGAAAATATAGACTGATAATTCTATGTGTTTAATTAATTTTAATATGTTCAAATTTGGTATCCACGTATTACGACAAAATTGATTTAATAGCGTAGCTTAACAATGCTTTGGGAATATTAATCCTTTATGATTGAATAAGTTCTAATAAGCTGTAATTTAAAAAAAATATTTGCAATATAATATATATTTACAAGAACTTCAAAAATCGCAAGGGATTAATTGCATTAGGCCGGATGACATTATTTTCTACTTAAATTCTTCTTGTTCCTCTTATTTTCAAATTGGTGACGGTATTACAACTTATTCGCTAAAAATTGCTTAATTTACTCTTTGCTAGAATATTATTCAAATACATCGTACTAAAGACTCCGAAAAATCGATCTAAAGATCGAAAAATGAAATCGTTGATACAATAAAACGATACATACACAATGCTTATTATATCGATTCTTAATAAAAGAAAAATAATAAATTATCGGATATGAATACCAATAAAAACACAACAGAACATTACAAAATGTAAATTAACATATATTTATTGATGTATTCACACAGAAACCGCGGTAGAAGCAGCAAGCATTATCGACATCGTGCATCCCCCGATTGCAATACCGTAGCCAGTTTTGGAAGCAGTTCTTCCGAGAGTCGAGGAGGTCTGAATCGATACTACCGCCAGGCTTGGGAAAATCTGCATGAGACTACTGGCCATAAGGCCAATCACCCTCCTCTTCGTCGCAAGGAGACCTTGGATGAACCAGGATACCGAGAAAATTACCGTGGTAACAACACCGAGAGAGATGGCTCGGAATTAGTTGTGAGCGACGTGGCCACATACCCGTCCAACAAGCACGCCAGCATCTCCGATAAGAAACGCCATCACCATCATCATCATCATCACCACGGTAACTCGACGCCCGAGTGGAGGCAGTCCCAGTCCCAATCCCAGTCCCAGTCCCAGTCCCAGTCCCATCACAGATACTGAAAACCGGAACTGTTACCTAAGCATCCCTTGTATCCAAGATTTTCGGTGAATCGATAACTGTGACAAAGTCAGTTGGATCACGAGTAAGCTCGGTCTTTTGTTTTCCGATATCTTGTAAGCGGTGGTACAGCGGGGAAACATGATGGTTTTACGTCAAATAATAAATAAAACATGTGGAATAAAATTACTTCATACAAAGCTCCGTTTTTTGAGAAACGTTGTTGTTCAATGTATGTTGAATATAGATACATTTGGTAATATTTTACTTCTAGATAAATGTAAGCTAGTTCTAATAAGTTAGCACTAAAGTTAGTAGCGTGTTCGTGTGTAATTTGTGTATTGTTCTTTGTTTAATTCAAATTCCCAGAAAGCTGCATTTTCTCTTTACATGTATAAGAGCACATCTATCTCAAGACCTATTTGAAATAGATAGTTGAAATTCAGCATACTGTTTTCATTTTAAAAATTAAAAAATTGAGAGTTATCTTAAACATATGCATATTATTAAGTACTGTACAATACGATCTGTAAATTAACTCTAATTCATAAAATGCGTATGTTTTTTACGGTAGTTTGCTAATGAAAGCTATTAGAAAGTCATTAATATGCATATATACTTTACAAACGTTTAAGACTACTGCTTTCGGAAACGAAATCTCACATGTGCAACTTTTATTCCGTATTTTTATTTTATTTTTTCATGCAAAATCATCACCTTGTTTTGCTGTACCACCACTTATGAGAAGACTCGTAAATTCTAAGTAGGATTCAAAGAAACGTGGTGAATAATTAATATGTTGCGTAGGGGAGTTATAAAGCGTGATTGATAGGTAAAAAAAAAAAGTAGATCATCCTACATTTATTGTTCTGTTATACAGTAAATTATTTACAACTACCTTGTTACGTAATGTAAATACCGTATACTGCAGTAATATAAGTGAAATAGGGAAGTTGTGAATGTAGGAGGATCACGTGTTGATCGAAGGATATGCCAAAAAAATGAGAGAGTAATATATATGTGTAATTACTGATCAAATGATTTTTAATGTTTCTTTTTTATGTAAGTTATTGTAAGAATATTTGATTATAGTTATTCTTAATGGTATATTTTACGAAAATCGTACGCTCGGCAAGATCAAAGTCTGTTAATTGACACCTTGGCCTTGCCTTAAGGGAATCGAATAAATTTCTTATAACGACATGATATTCGAAAGAAGTATCGTTAAGGAAAGGCCAACGTTATCCATTTCAGAATCAAAATTTATTTAGTTATGGTGCTCGTTCTAATAGAATTTATGTGTATTTAATCTGTGTTTGCAGATTTTACGATACTTTAATGGATTATTTATACTTAGTATTATATTAATCAGAACATTTTTCCCATACTCGTCGAGAATAACAAATACATAATTAGTAGATGGTATGTACTTGTTCGTTGACTGACGTAAGATATTCATAGTAAGTTTGTACATGTATTTATTTAATATCCCGGTAATTCACAGGAAATTGTAATAGTGCCATTATGGGCAAACTTGTTTTATTGTATTGACACGTACATTCTTGTCGTTTGAAATACAAATACAAAATGGCGAACGCTCGTATACCTTTAATAACTTGTTACGTACGTATATCGTTAGTCTTAGACTTGATAATGCACGAACTACTTAAACTAAAAATATTTATGTAGTATAATCGTCACAACAGTTCAAAAAGAAAAGAACACAAATTGTTCAAAAAATTACTGAAATAAACTTAATTCTTGTAACACACTTTTGTATCATTAAAAAATAAAAAGTCCATTTATCACTAAGCAGTCTAATAATATCACGCAAAACATTAAAAAAATACCACATTTAATTCTGCAACCACTGCTTGATTAAACGTCCAACCTCCACTCTGGCAGCTTTCAACTCAGGTGAGTCATTTTTGGAGGGAGGATACATATTTGCACAATGAGCAGTACCTGTGAATCGTAATATTAAATTAATATTCAATATTAATTCTAAAATGTAAAATTTTTATTATTTTTGTGCACCATTAATATAAATAGCAGGCATTTGCGAATTCGGTGATTTTGTAATGCCCAAAACATGCCAGGGGTCAACTGATCCGTGTACAAACACTACATTTGTAACTTTCAAATTTAATGCTCCATATAAAATATTTGTTCTATTGACTGCTGATTTTAGCAAGTGAATATTGTATCTGTTAAGTTACAAAATACAATTATTAATATTGATTGGTGTGATAATTAAATAAGTGTTTACCACAAATTTCAACAAACCTAGGGCCAAACACATCGGTACACTGTTGCACAAAAAAATCTATCGGGAATGTTTCACTAAATAATTTTGGGCGTGCCGTAGAAGTTTGAAAGAATCCAAATTCTGTGCACGTTTGATACATCCATTGACGACCTAAAAAAAAAAATCTTATTAAAGTATAATAACTAAAAATTAAAAGGTAATAATATTCTTAGTATAATGCATTACCTCCTTCTGCTTCTTCGCTAGTCCAAGTTACGTCTCGAAGTTCATGAACCATTTTATTGTACATATAATCTAAACATTTCTTTTCTGACGCATTCAATATTTTATTACTTAAAAATGCAAGTCTATCAATAGCAATACCCAACTTCTGATTCGTTAAAATATCACATGTACTTTCAATAGTCAAATTAGCCATTGCAGTATTATTGCGATTGTCTTTATTGTATTGTACAATACCAGCTAAGTTACCTGCTATCGTTTCGTACAAGTTCGTTAGACAATAAACTAAATTTACACCTACACAAATTTTTTACTTATTCCTTGTTGGCCAATAGGATGATGTAACATTATGCTGAATTGTTCATTGGCTTCTTTTATTGCATTCACACATGCCTCAGAATATTCCTTAAGAGCATTTTCCACAACAACAAAGTATTCTATAAAGTATACCTATTAACATCAAAAATTTTGTATCTAAAGTACTCTTTATACTTACCCTGAAAATCAATTTCTGCTAATAAAGGACCACTTGCAGAAACAGCTCCATGCACTAGATGAGGATACTTAGAACGCAACCATGCAGCCAGTGATCCAGCATATGACCCACCAAATGCAATCCATTTAGTACCATTTGGCAATTTGTAATCAGTATTCATGATTTCTACAAAATAAGCTAAATCTGCAAGAGCTTGTTGTGATGTAAGGTATACTAGATTTTTCACACTAAGATCACTGTAAATAACAAAAATATTATGTCAGTGTTAAAATTGGTAATCTATGGTTTATTAAAATTATACAATTTGTAAATAATATTACATACGAAGTAGGATGACTTTTTCCATAGAAACGATGTTCTACTTGGAAACATAGTGCTCCAAATTGTTTGGCATACTCGATCCATTGTCCTTCCATCATCCATTTAGCATCTGCACTAGCTTCACCACTTATCATTAAAAATACAGGGCCTCCATGTTTATAATAATCTCCATTTATAAAATATCTCTGTAAAAATATTTAAAAGTTTTGATTACATCACAAAGCAAATTATTTATTAATTACAAACCTAAGAATTTAAAATACATTTCTATATTACCTGTTGCCAAATATGTGCATCAATTGGATTAAAGTGGTCTAAAAATTGTGTCAACCATTGCTCCTTTGGAAGTTCATATTCTTTAGACAAAATTGGAACACCCAGATTACCATGTTTGCTTCGACCTCTCATAAAAGTCTGCCATGATATACTAACATTTATGAGACTGATAAAGAACAATAATAGTAGGAACCAGCGCATGTTGTAATAGATTTCAATCAATTACAAGCTATTAGGCATTCTGAAAATGTAAAAGCTAAACTAATTATTTATATTTCATAAAAGAAATAAATATTATGTTCCTATCTTTGCTTTATATGAATTTAAGAATGGTAAGAACACAATTGCTAAAATATTTATTTAAAACTACATCAAACAAAGTAACAATTACATTCATTTCAATCATTTGCATAAAATTAAAATTTGCACACAGTAATCTGTAATATAACAATTATTTTGCAAAATATAAAAAAATTTAAGGATTTCAGTAATGTATTAAAAAAAGGAAATCAATATTTCAAATGTTATATTATAATAATCATAAATTTAAGAAGTTATAAATATCAGCAACAAAATATTATTACAAATTTAGAGTATAATGAATCTTTAAACAACTCCAATTTGATATCTGTTTTACTGACATATATGTACAATATTTATATAGGAAACAAAGGTCACAATATACTAGATTTTTTTTATTATTTGTTACTTCACATATTATATACATTTAAAACTTCTTATTGATAATAAAAACATTTATTTATCACTATGCTATGTAAAAAACACACCTGTGGCAAAAATTACAGAAATAATTTTAAAATGCTTTTACTAAAAATTAAAATGAACTTACTAATTTTATTACTATGCTTACGGCAAGACAATATGACCACCTTTCTTAAACTAACTTTTTAATAATTCTTTAATGTGATTTCATATATATAGGTATAGAAAACATTAAAATCGTCAAACTTGAAATGATAACTTTTAGCTTTAAAATTAAGTAACAACTAGTCGTTTTATAAATACCTACATATGGTTTACGTCGAATGCTTTCTTTTTTAAAGCGCCATTACTATAATGATTTTTATTATCAGTTACCACATAAACAAAATTGCTTTCGTCACAGACGAGGTATAGATCGAACTTTGTATCCAACGTTCTGAAATACCAATCGTGTAAAACAATGAGAGGTTTGTTATGCCCTCTACGATAATACAGCAGTAGTGAGTTTAGAAATTATACATATACAATCCGACCATCAAAGATGGTAAAGTCGACACATATAAAAGATCCTCCTTTGTTAAATTCGCATGTAAAGATATTTAACATACATGTATTGGATGCGTGGGTAAAACTTTGAGGATCTCTCAAAAGCAGTAAAACCCACATAAGGGATGAATCATCCACTAATGAAAAATTATATTTTCATATTTTTTATTACAGCATAATGAAAATTCTTTGAACTTTTTGCTTTCAATAATATTTGAGTGATTCTTGCAGAATTTTATTATGAAAGTGAGTAAGACAAGTAAAGGAATACGGATAGACAAGGATAGCAATAGCAAAGAGAGTTAGACAAGGAAAGGAATAGGGGTAGACAAGGATAGCACTAGAGTAATGAGTTAGACAAGGAAAGATATAGGGATAGACAAGGACAGAAAATTTGAAAAGTTTGATTAACGCCATCTCGTGTTTGGATGCGCGAACTAACAACTTGTTACTAGGAACACAGGATATAAACAGAGCTATTAGACAAGGAACGCACTAGTGTGCGAGAAGGATAGAGAGAGAACGTTTCCTATTGGTCCGCGGTCTGTAATGGCCGTCTCACAGACGCTAAATCAAGTTAGCCAGGGAAGAATCAGTAATAACTCATTAATTTGAATGATTTTGTGAACTTTTAGGACTGAGGAATAAAGTGTGGACCTTCAGCAACTTTCACATGTAGTTTATAATGCACTAGACCCTTTCAATAATTAGTTATTAACAATTATTGTACGTAGTATCGGCAGCAGTACCGCACATAATTCTGGTTTTTTATTAATTTCGTAACTTTGTACAAATAATTTATGCACATTTATACATGCATTTAAAAGGCTATTCCTTTAGCTAGTTTCTCATTAAATATTCATCAACATGTCCGTCGTAATTTGCGAGATATTAAATATTATTTGGAAAAATACTACACTCGTCGCATTCAAACGTGACGGATTTCCATCATTTTCACGACTATGCAGGTTTAATTGTGCACATTTAGTCATGTAGAATATAGTATAGATCTCTATCTACATTCTCCAATAATTTTTACATGCGTATATGGTGTACTTTAGTAGATATTAGCAATTGTTTATAAAAATTGGCTACACTCAATTGCGATGAATAGGGCTCTCTCTCATATAATCTTTAATAACTCTTACATTAAACCAAACATGTTAATAAAAATTATATGAGAATGTAGCTAAGGGAGTTGCTTTTCTGGTGCATATAGTTAGGTGTATGAGAATTTAGAGAAAAGCTGTGAAATTATTGAAAAACCGTAAAAGTATGCGGTATCGTTCTCGACATCACGTACTAAAACTGTTAATAACTAACTATTTAAAAGGTCTAGTGTATTATGATCTATATGAGAAAGTTGTTAAAGGTCCACACTTCATTCTTCAATTTTAAAAGTTCACGAAATCAACGTAATTATTGAGTTATTAAGGAAAATCACGGAAATGTCTTACGCTTGAATGCGACGAGTGTATTACTTACCCAAATAATGTTTAATAACTCGCAAATTACGACGGATATGTCGATGAATATATAACAAGAAACTAGCTAAGGGAATAGCCTTTCAAATGCATGTATAAATGTGCATAAATTATTTGTACAAAGTTACGAAATTAATGAAAAACCAGAATTATATGCGGTACTGCTGCCGATACTACGCATAATAATTGTTAATAACTAATTATTGAAAGGGTTTAGTGCATTAAAAACTATATGTGAAAGTTGCTAAAGGTCCACACTTTATTCCTCAGTCCTAAAAGTTCACAAAATCATCCAAATTAATGAGTTATTACTGATTCTTCCCTGGCTAACTTGATTTAGCGTCTGTGAGACGGCCATTACAGACCGCGAACCAATAGGAAACGTTCTCTCTCTATCCTTCTCGCACACTAGTGCGTTCCTTGTCTAATAGCTCTGTTTATATTCTGTGTTCCTAGTAACAAGTTGTTAGTTCGCGCATCCAAACGCGAGATGACGTTAATCCAACTTTTCAAATTTTCTGTCCTTGTCTATCCCTATATCTTTCCTTGTCTAACTCATTACTCTAGTGCTATCCTTGTCTACCCCTATTCCTTTCCTTGTCTAACTCTCTTCGCTAGTGCTATCCTTGTCCAACTTGCTTCGTTGTTGATATCCTCGTTATACCTATTATATTTAATTGATACTTATAATCAATTTCTAATTATTTTAATATTACTAATAATGTAGATAGTAAAATACAGGTTCCGATTTTTTTTCAAGTACTTTAATTATAGAATAATCAATGTTTCTTGTTAAATAACAATTTAAATGGTGGTTAATAATTATTAGAAGTATTAAATAAACTTGTCGCATGATTTAACTTACAACTGCGGATAGCGTTAGGAACGCGTAATAATAAAAAAAATTGAAATAAACCCGAAATTTATCTTAATGTATATATTATACAATTAGAAGTATGGAATTCTATATGTCGTGTACGCTTATAAAATATCCTGTTCTATACTTTATTTATAATTTCATATTTACATTTAGTTCTAATTTCCCACCACTACTAATGTTGTAATCTTATTGTATGCTGAATTGGTGACATTGGAAGTGATACGAAAATGGTAAGGGGGCTCTAAAGTCCCTGCGACATGAACGAAAGGATGCATTGAGTCATAGATCTATTCTGTATCTCGTCTATGCTTTTATCACATGTTATCACGATTACTAATTTTTCTGAAACATCTTCAAAATGAATTTACGTATTATGTGAATATTATGATAATTTACAGCAAGTCGTTACTTCAATCAATACACACGTGTGTATTATCTAATATATAGAAAGCTATTATTTTAAAAATTACATTTATTGTTCATTGTATATTGTAATTGTATCTTTATAATAAAAATATTACAGTAATTATGTTGTTTTAAATCTTCGAATACATTTGTGTATAAAGGTGTTATAATTATATTGTATATGTATATTAATTTTACATATCTAATGCGTATAAAGGGAAGCTTTATCTACAAGCTTAACATTTAAAATCAATACAATGTGACATATAATAGTAGGACTTAAAATTAACAAATTAAGTGTTATGGATACAAACAAAGAATCGTTAACATTTAACACTCAAAGTAACGAGATTATATATCGCATATACATAAGTATTTTATCTAACTCAAATAGATTCTCGTACGATGTGTGTAGCAAAAGCAATTTAATCGAATGCATTCTCTGCTCTTAGTAAGGGACAGAAGATCTTTATCTTCGTGAAAAGAGTAATTAAAAAATATTTATTGCACTGGATTAATGTTTATAATATGTGTATACAGAGAAACAATGATCACTGTAAAATTCGATAACTAAACGTAAAAAATGAGAACGAATACGTTTATCTTTAAGTAATACATATGTCTTTATCGTGATGTAAACGAATTGAGAAAATATTGAATTAGTGTTGCCGACAAAGGTTTTAAGAACGTTATATGTGTCGCGTGTAACCTCTTTTGTGCTTTAATTCATCAAAGGTAAGCGTAAAACTAAACAGTTAATTTGAGGAATATTGTTAATTTTGATTATTCTTTAATTTACTTTATACATTATATTTTTATTGCATTTAATTTCTGCAAATTTTATTATTTAATTATTTCTTTCATATGCTATATCT